CAACATTTATACATAATACAACTGTAAATATTTTTCACTTATATTAATTTTTGGGCTTAGATACTGTGAAAAGAATCCTGAACGTAGTTTTAAAAATAAGGTATGACTTAGAAACTTTGACCCAAAAGCAACACCATATGGATGAAAGCATTTCTGAGATGGTTTTGAACTTACAAAGTAGTGCAACTAGTAATAATGAACAGATTATAACCATGTCTAATGAAGAAGATTGTGATACTTTACTTCCTATTTCCAGTGAAGAAGAACTTATTGAATTTGAAACTAAACTTTTTGACAAAAATTTTAAGACAAGTGTTGTATGTTCTTAAAATTTTAAATTATTTCACATTAAATTAAACTTCTTAACCAATATTTTTAATTCAGGTTAATAGTCTTAAACGATTAACGAGAAAAACATTAACTTCAACAGTACGCTAAATATTAAGGAAATTATTTGATGATGAGTTACTTAAAGAATATAGCTATGTGGGCCAGAAAAAAAAAAAATATTTTCTTCTTTGAAAACATGTACAGTAATATTTGGTAAGCACAAATATATTATATATATATATAAATTAATATGTATTGATTGAATATTTAAATACTTGAATATAAATTATGTATATTGATATATATGTATAATGTATATATATGTATATTTAATATATATTAAATTATAGCTTTTAACTATAGATCCACAATTGATTTGATTTTTTTAGAAGCTGTAAGAAAGACCAAACATTTTCAAAATGCTATAGATGCAGAAATCGAAGCTCCTATTAAAGTGTATATAGCTGGTGCTGCATTTAGAAGAAGAAAAGATGCTTGAAAACTGTTGGTGGAATATATAAAATGTTTTCTTCTTTATATATTATATTTAAATTTTTGTATTAGTATTATTACTATATAATATAATAAAATTGTCTCCCGAGGTGTGTTGAGCAATAAAAAATTTTTAATATGCAAATATATTTAAGTGAAATTTATATATTATATTATATTTATATATTTCCATTTTTTTATGATATATATTATATAGGGAACTATAGTCTACCATTTTATATAATAATATGTATTATATATATATTATACATATTATTATATACATATATGTATATGCATATTATAACTGTACCATAATATATATATATGTTATATATAAATGAATATTTGTTAAGTTTTATAAAATTAAAACAAATACCTAATATAATTGATAGTATATAGGTATAATATTATATGTATTATATACCAGCTATATACAATTATAAAAAATATCAATTTATTTTTTAATTTAATTACATTTTTAATATTACAATAATAATAATATTTTATTGTATTTAGTACAATATAATAACATAAATATATTATATTTATAATAATATAATATCAATACAAAAAGTATGTGAAATAATATTTCGTACTTGGCCAAATAATATTACTATATTATTAAAAAAATATTTTTTTTAATTACTTTTTATTGTGTTAGTGTTTAAATAATAATATTTGTCATTATATTTGTAATGTTATTTTCACATTATTATATTGTTATCTTGCTATCAGGGGTGTGTTCTGTTTGTTTTGATGAGATGTATATAAAAGAATTTGTAGAATATTCAAAAGAATTTGATTATATTGAAGATTTTGAGGACTTGGGTCATAAGGAAGGATCAATAAAAGTGCCAACTGTGTTCTAGTATTTATGGCCAGAGGTATTTATTCTTAGTGGAAAATTCCAATTGTTTATTTTCTTTCTCATTCTGGAGTAAGCAAAAACATTTAAAAAAAAACTAATACAAGATGTTCTTAAAAAATTATTTGAAGTTGGGTTGTGTCCAAAAATTATAGTATGTGATCAAGGCTCAAATAATCAAAGTACTTTAAAATCATTAAATGTTTCCGAAGACAGGCCTTATTTTTTTATTGATAACAATAAAATATTTTCTTTATTTGATGTGCCACATTTACTTAAAAGTGTTAGAAATAATTTAATTGAAGCTTCTTTTATAAAAGGTGATGGCAATATAATTTCATTTTATGACATAAAAAAACATATGAGTTAGATAAAAAATCTCAAGAGTAGGTGTCTCGTCAAAATAACAGATGCACATATTTATCCAAATTCTTTTCAAAAATGAATGTTAAATTAGCAGCACAATTATTGAGCCATTCTATGTCAGCAACGATCCGAACTTGTATACAAACTGGACAACTTCAAAGTAACACTTCTTTAAATACTGCAGATTTAATTGAATTTATCAATCATTTATTCGATTGTCTTAATAGCAGATCTTTATATAGCCAAAATCCATATCTATGTGCATTAACTGAATCAGGTACTGTACACTATTTCTTAAAAAAAAAGTCAGAATATTTTACAAATTTTCAAAAATTAAAAAAAGGAAAATTAACTCAACCTCCTTGTTTTAAAGGTTTCACACAGACAATTAATGATGTGTTGCAATTTTTCGAAGAAGCCAAAAGCTCATAACATTGTAATTTTAATGACTAATAGATTAAATCAGGATATATTAGAAAATCTATTTAGTATTTTTCGACAAATGGGTGGTTATAATAAAAATCCAACAGCCAGAACAATTAGGACTTCTATAAGTAATAGTATTTTTTCTTTATGTACATCTAAAGGTACAAATTGTAAGGCAACCATAGGAGATAAAAATCCTATAATATTTGACACGATGAAATATCAAAATAAAATAGATTCTAACAATTCAACATTGTCTTCTTATTCTGACACAGAAAGTATTTCTAATTTATCTTTCTCTCTCCTATATCATCTGATGAGGATTCTATTAATGAAAATATAAATAATGGTGTTACTTTGGAAGATTGTTCTGTTTCATACTTTGCAGGATATTTAGGTTATAAATGTATGAAAAAATTTAACTGTGACAACTGTCAAAATTAATTATTTGTCAATAAAAACTTAAATGATAAAAAACAGTTGCATCTACTTAATAAAAATTAAACTTCAATTGAAAATGAAAATGGGCTTAAAGCACCATCAAATAGTTTTAACAATGTAGTAAATAAAATTTTAAATATTTTTGAAAACAATTATAAAAGCTATTTACATTAAAAAAAATAAAATTTCAACTAATTGAGCGCGTAAAAAATAATAACATAGTTAAAAAAATGGCTTGATGAATCATTAACAAACTACATAGATCATAAAATGTACATAATTGAACAACTCTTAATTTGCAAAATATTTAATAAAACAAAATTATTTTCAACTACTTCAAAATTAGCAAAACTTTCAAAATTAAAAATATTAAACCATATTTATTTAAATTAAATAAATGTTTTCTTGTTCTGGCATTGTACCTATTTGCATAAAACAATAGAAGCAGTATTAATTGTCCTCTATAGGACTCACAATTAATAGTTCTTTTCAGAACTTTGTGTTGATTCTATTAAACGGTTCTTTTCAGAACTAATAAACATCACAATTTAATATTATTCTAAATTAATTTATTAATTTTAAACCCAGACTCCAATGTAATGTAATTTTGGTCTATCTTTACTTGCAATCGTTTTTCATAATATGCAGATTTATTGTTAGTTTCTAAATTTAACATATTCAATATGTACCTACTCAATATTAAAATACAACTACATTATTTTATTTATAAATAATAATAATAATATTTTATTAATTGTATTATTAATGTTATTTTATAAAAAACTATGATATGGATAAAAATTTGCTGTATTGTTAAAATTTGGTAAATCTTGTGTAGTGTATAATGTAAATTGTAATACAATACTTTTTTACAAAGCAAATTTTACTGAATCTTAGCATTGCAAAATAAATTAATTTTTCGTAATAAAATAAATAATTACTTTTTGGTCGCGTACAACACAACGTAATAACGCAGAATATGAAAAAAATTAACAATAATTTTACAATATTGTGGTGAATGGTGATAGTGCGATGCACGGAAAATATCATTTATCTACGATAAAGTAATTTATAAGCTTATCGCTTTTTCTGTCATTGCCAAAAAACCGGTCTAAGAATATGTTATTACTACTTGCCGTCAGTACTCAGTATTAATAATATAATGGTAACCATACACGATCCGGTTTGCCGGAGAGGTCGGACTGCGCAGGCGGACTGCACAATTTTTCCGGAACGTGTGTGTTACAACTGTTACAAGTTTACGCAGTTTTCGGAAACTGTGCAGGCGGCCGGAAAAAAATCGAAAAACGATTCTTTTGGCCTGCGCAGTCATGACTGTACAGGCATACCAGATCGTGTATGGCCGTATGTTGGTTAACCGTCGTTCGACCGGCTGGTTCACTTTTGCAGCATGGTGCTTTTTATGTTTATTGAAGTTTCAATAAACCTTTGTTTTTGGTTTGTTTGTTTTTTTTTTTTTTGTCATTGTTACTAATTTTACGATTCATTACAACTAATTTAACGTACTTTACTATATTATATTATACATGTTTTATTAAATTATATTATATAATATAATGAGCCGTAAGAATTTGGAAGAATTTATAGATTTATATAAATCATATCCATGTCTGTGGCAAACAAAATCTAAGCTTTACCATGACCGCCCACTAAGGGAAGCGGCTTACAAAGTATTAGTAGAAAAATTAAAAGAATTTGAACCAGATGCGAACAAGGATTTAGTGGTAAAAAAAATCAACAATTTAAGAAGCAGCGTCAGAAAAGAAAAAAAAAATATGAAGCTTCTGTCAAGTCAGGAGCTTCTTCTGACGATGTTTATCGGCCAAAATTGTGGTATTATGATATGATGAACTTTCTAAATGACCAAGATACACCTCGAGAATCAACATCAAATTTGGACACACAAGATGAAAGCATATCTGAGGTTGGTAAAATAATTAAGGTTCTAAAATTTCATGAAATATATTTTTTATATTTTTTTGAAATATACAAATATACAAATATATAATTTATAATAAATATATAATATACTAAATTACGCGATAAACTTATTTTGTCATGGCACGGTGCCTTCATTACAGAAATAATTCATAAAATCTTCTCGTACTTGTTTTGCCCTATTTGCAATATTCCCCGAGTTACGACGATCTAAACTGTGCATATTACTATTTTCAACATTGTATCCAAGCGTAGTTATACTTCCGTTTGCTATGTCTTCTTGGTAAAAACGTTTTTGATGCGCGTATGAAGTAGGAGAATTTACAATGAGAAAGTTATGTAATGCACATGATGCCATTACAATTTTTTCGATTTTTTTTGATTCAATATTAATTTGAGTATGGAATATACGAAATCGATTTGCCAATATTCCGAACGCATTTTCCACGATTCGTCGTGCGCGACTTAACCTGTAATTAAATATTTTTTTTTCATAACAATCCAAATGTGATTGTCGATACGGTTTAAGCATATCAGTTCGTAACGGAAAGGCATCATCGCAAACAAAAACATATGGTAATTGCTTGGAACTTCCCTCAATGTTGTCTGCGAAAGGAATGTTTAATTCTTCATTTAGTAGTTTTTCGTAAAACGTTGTATTCTGAAGAACGCCCCCATCAGAATGTCGTCTGCCATTTGTTCCAAAATCTGTCAATAGAAATTGATAATTTGCATTTACTAATCCTAAGAGAACCATACTATGGTGGCCTTTGTAATTGAAAAATTCGGATCCACTTCCAGCTGGTGGAACAATATTTATGTGCTTTCCGTCGAGCGCACCAATACAGTTTGGAAAGTTCCAACGCCCCTCGAATAATCGTGCAATGTCTTTCCATTCTTCTTCAGTTGTAGGAAACTGAAAAAAAAATTTAATTGAAAATTTTATTAAATTAAAATTTTATTTAATTTTAAAATAAAATGAATCTCATTTTTGAAATAATACCTTGTAATAACATGTAATATGTTGACACATTGTAATTTTAAATAAATAATAAAAAAAAAATCTCATTTTGATTTCAGATTGGAATAGATGATTATCTGGAAAATGAAGTAGAAGGAATCCACTCGGTAAATTCGACGGTTTAGCGATCAGATATTGTTAATCCACCAAGGGCAGAAAAATCTAAAAAAAACGATGCAAAGTTAACTACTGAGGTGTTGCTGTCGGTGCGTGATCATTTTAAACGACCGAAAATAGAAGAAGATCGGTATGACGTTATTGCAAAAGGTTTTGCTATGAGATTGAGGGAATTGGAAAAAAGGCAGCGAATCATTGCTGAAAAGTTGATTAATGATATCCTTTTTGAGGCTGAAATGGGTAGCTTCCCACACAGCAATTGTTAATCAATACGATTGTATAAATATTTTTATTTGATTTAAATTCAAATATTTAAAATTTATAGCTGAAACGATATTGAATATATATTAATTTTTATTGATTGTAACCAAAATATTCATCAATCATTATTAAATATTTAAATAATCATATTTTATTTTAAATTAATATTTGAGGTTTAATAAGTTTTAAAATTTAACAATTATTAAATATACTGTGTTTCAATAACTATTTAAAATTAAAATTAG